GGCCTCAACAGCAGTCCACCAATGACGATGACCTCGAGGTGCATGTGGGACGCCACTATGAAATGCATACTCCGAGGCGTCAAAGACCTCACCGTGAACCTGGCCTTTTGATCGGGAAGCTGTACCTAGATGGATGTCTTGCAGCTAGCGGCACAGGAACTATGTCCAGTGCTGAGTCCCGAGAACTCCAGGTGGAACCAATTGCGGGTCCGACAAGCCCGTACAACAAGTCTGCAGCTCCAATGTCTGTGGGCTACAATAGAGGTGGTGGCGTCATTCAACGTGGTGTCGCTGCTGTGGTGCCCTCCTCAAGCTCGAGCGCTACTCCTGCTGCTCCCTCAGTCCCAAGATCCTACCAACCGCTGGTCGAAGAATGGGCTCTGGTGACTGATGAGGAGTCCGATGATGTCAATGCCAATGAGGAGGAGCCCTGAAAACTATGAAGACTGGAAGAAGCACTGCTGAGAGCCGGGCTACGAAAGCCATTTTGGCTGAACTTTTGATGTTCCGCAGCAAGCTGCGGGGGGGAGTGCGATTCATGAAGCATTCCACCAGCTGCTGTGGATTTTAAAACTTAGAAGTTGACATGTGGTGGCATGCACCAAACATAGCATGGCCACTGCGCAAGGATGACATGTGACTGCCATTGCAAAATGGCTCAAGCCAACGAAAGTTGGCTCAAGGGCGAGACGAAAAAGGTCTTGCCTAGCAGCTGCTGCTTCAGTTGTTGATCCACGAAAACAAACGGACCAACATGGTCACGTTCACCCGCCTCACGAACCAGAGGCTGAAGACTAACCGCCATGAACATCTCCAAACAAGAAAAAAGGTGTGGCTGCCTTCCCGCTGCCACCATACCGCTTCGTCCTGTGACTCTCTTGTTTTCTTCTTCTCTCCTTTCTTCTCTTCTCTTTTCCCTTTTTCTCTGTTCATCTCTTTCTTTTCCTTTCTACATGTACCTGTTGCGATTTCCCTCAGCCCATATGGCTCATGCTTACTCTATATATATATATCTATATATATATATATGGATTCTGATCACGTACGTGTTGCCCCTGAACGATCCCGCTCCCCGGACGAACCCATGTGGCAAAATCGCAACCACCAGCGACGACGTCAATATCGCGATACATGGCATGATGTACCACCGGTACGTCGACCCAGGCAAGTTCTCATTATCGTCAATCTTGAAGCAGTTCGTCCACTCATGACAAGAGTTCATGGTGATGTCATGGACTCAACCACATGCGAATCCTTACCTTCTCTTGGTAGAATGGAAGAACTCGCTCTGTTCACCTACCATGTCCTGATCCACACATATCACGTGGACACACTCACGGTGAACAACCTGCTGTACTACATCAGCCAGCACATCTTGTACACTTGATATCGCTATCTCGAACCTACATCCATGGATCTCCGTTGGCAAGATCAGACTGGGGACACCTTCGCCCTCAGAAACGAGCACCGCCTGATTGACCTTCTTCATGAATTTCGTCCTCATTGGACTGAAGGTCAAGAATTTGGGATCCTGTTTCCGAACAGTATCCGGCCATTCACTTCCCAGAATCAGCCGTACATCATGCGCCTGAGTTGCCATGAGGCACTTCCCAACCGCAACATGCTCCCATAAATCAGTCGGAAAAATGTCCGCCTTGCTTATTGGTCAACTCACTCTACTCTTAATCGTGTTACTTCATGACATGTTCTCTTTACCACGGCATTGGCATCATACCTCTTCACTTGTTTGCTGATCCTCAGCTCTTGGCTTCAGTTTTTAATATGACTAAAAGAGATTCTGTCCTCGCCGGTGTTGACTCCCCTCGTGCACCAACGAGCATGCAATGTCGCCAAAGCCATTTCGACGGGCAATCCAGCAGCGGTGCTACATCCTCAGGTGACAGATTGCAAAATCCCCACCATGGGATGGACCATAGTGGCAGTTACTCTCATGCTCACCATTACGGGTATACGTCAGTATCCCCGTCAGTTCCTCTACCTGATGGATCTACCAACCACCTCCATGAAGAAGCTTACCCACTCCAAGCGGAGATCGAACAACAACACCGAGCTCTCCATACTCACATCTTCACAGAGGTCATATCTCCTCACCAGACAGGCGTTAATCGCCTTATGGTGACAGAAGTGGATCGTTTCGGTGTTAAACTTTAAAACGAAACCGTCAACCGGAGTTCTTCTTCAACGGAATTGTTGGTCACATTCGTGCAGACCGCCATGGCTGGATCAACAGTTGGGAACAATCCACCCAACTAGCCAACTACTGGCTCGTCACTTCAACATCCCTGAAGTGAACAATGAGAACAACTCTTGGCATCATCACCAGCAGCCGTCTGACAATGCTGATCGACATGAAGAAAGCCAAGAGTCAACACCAAAATCGAAGATGGAAGACGATGATTCCATCGCTGCCAATGTTGGTACGGCATCGGCTCCTAGTCAGATCCACCAGCTGGCTACAGTCCTCCGGAACATTCTCAACAATGACAGTACTCCAATGCTGCGATCCTCGAGAAGCTTGAGAATCCAGGAGATGACTTGAGCACCAACCCGGTCCAGGTCTTTACGGCAGCAGACCTGGCCCATCTTGCAAGCCACTTGGCCCTGACAACGCAAGTCCTAGCCCAACAGGCACAGGACATGGAAGAATTGTCCGAAATCGATGACTAGTGGCAACGTGAACTACCTTCCGATGTCCAATCTGAGCAGACCGGATAATTCAACTCATTCCCTGTGTTTTGATTTTGCCTCAGTTGCTACATCCTGTCTCAGGGAACAGATAAGAGCTTCGCTAACTTTCATGCAGTCGTTGCAAAAACAGCCTCGCGGCAGCGGGGCGTGTGTGTGGAACATCTGAAAAGATGTAAAACTTCTAACTTGCATGTGATTCGTTTGTCGACTGTCGTTCAATTCTTGGCTTGATTTTATATTTGAATTTCTGCAATGGTTTCCAACGAATGTCAGCAGGGGGTAGCGGCAGATCATTTGGGACCGCTACCAACGAAGACGCCCATTTGATCTGGTGATACGGATTGGGACGCCAATCTGCATACCTGCTTTTTCCATTCCGTTCTGCAATGTTCATTTCCTTGTGCATGGCATCCGGCTAAGCCTAGAACCGGCAAGTCGGTTTGATTCTCATCTCTTTTCTGCACGGTTGTCGAAATCTGATTTTCCATTGTCAATTGAAGATGAACGCGTTGCATCAGAACGATTTGATTCTTATAGCAAGGACATAGAAAGATTACCTTTGCACAGTTTCTCACTTCGAGTCTTCCAAACGCTCCTGTCAGGTTTAACTGAAGTGTTTTTGCACGTGAGATGCATTCCACATCAGTAATTCGATAAGATATTTCTGAGCAAGTGTGTGAATCCCGCTAAGAGGCATGCAGGTAAGAGTATTAAAAAGATGGTTGAAGTTGTAGAGTGAACAAGCAGGGGCCAGTGCATGACATCACGACACTGGCCAACGAAGCTAGTGATTTCTTGGAAAGCGGTTGGAGACGTCTAACCGTGTACCTGCAAAAGAATGTGAAATTTCAAGCTCTTGTCATCAGGCTGCTGCAGGTTTCTAAGTGTCTACAAGTGCATGTCACAACTCGTGATCATCAGGATGACTTCTTAGGAAACATCAAGGCCAAGACGATGCCAGCAAAGCAAAGATCTATTTTATAGAGTAATTTATTTACTCTATCAACAGTGTGTGTAAAAGCGTCTGTGTGTAAATGCCTCTGTGTGTAAAAACGTTTGGATGTAAACGTGTTTGTGTGTAAAAGCGAATGTGTGTAAAAACGTCTGTGTGTAAAAAGCGTCTATAAAATTGTCTGTGTGTAAAAGTATCTGTGTTACATCTTCGCTTCCTACATCTTCTCCATCTTTTCTTTCCTTCCCCCACTCTCTTTCTACCACCCTGTTTCCTTCATACAGCCTCTCCCTTGCAATGTTTATCTTTTTGCTTTCGTTCTGTGCCATTACAAATGTTTCAATGTTTCTCTTCAGCTTTCATCTTAACATCTCGGCATCTTGCCTTTCTCATTTTCCTGATAGCAAGGAACCCTGCTGGAACGTTGTTAAAATCGTGCTGCAACCTTGCTGGACCCTTGTTGGAAGCTTACGGAAATCTTGCTGAACCTTGCTGGAGCCTTGCTAGAACTCTGCTGGAACATTGTTGGAACGAACCTTCCTGCAACCTCGTTGGAACCTTGCTGAGGCCTCGCTGGAACCTTGCTGGAACTCTTCAAGGACCCTGGTGCAACCTTGCCACAACCTCGCGTATGGATCCCTTGGTCCATGGAATCTTGGGAGCAGGAAACCTGGAGCTGGAACTATGAAACTCTAGAGTCATGGAGTTGTTTAACCCCGAGTTTGGTTTCTTGCAATCTTAGAGCCTGCCTACCTTGGCCGGAAACCGAAAACCTTGTGAAACACTTTGAAACCTTTTGAAACTGTAGAGTTGACGCTTTGCTGTGGATAATAACGTTTTTTCTGTAAATGAACTGAAACAACTCTATCATTTCGTTGTTGATGAACCAAACCAAGACCACCAAGACCCTTACAAGTCTGGAACCTTGGTGCTTGGAACCTTGAACCCTGGAACCCTAGAACCCCGGTAATCTAGAACTCTGGAACCTTGGAACGCTCGAAACTGCAACCTTGCAATCCTGGAAACCTGCAACTGTGTGGAATTCTGGAACCCTGCGACACCTTGGAACCTTGCCCGAAAACATTGCAACCTCGGAACCCTGGAGCATGCTGTTTGGTTGACAAGCCGGGTTGATTTCTAGAACTCTGCCCCTCAGCAACTCTGTTTTACAATTTTTATTTCCCCATCTTTCTTTTTTTTCGAAATTGTTTTTGCCACTGCAACTTAGCGTTTCACATCTGTGTGTTCATACCGTTTGTATGAACTTGCGCGTCTCCAGTTCGTAAATGTTTTTTTGTGCCTCACCCTGATCCTGCTGTATCGCCTCTGTGGCTCACAGCGCGGTGGGTGGTCCGCAATGGCTTCTAAAGACGGATCAAAAGTCACCACCCAGGGTTACCATGCTTATCGCAAGGCATGGTGTCACAATGGGTTTGATGTCTTGGTCCTAAGCTGTGTTTGATTCACATTTTATGTTTAGTTTTCATATTACGAAACACGCGAAACTGTGACTGCGTTTCATGACGAGACTGTTGTGCCGTTTTGTGCCGTTTTGTGCCGTTTTGTTTTATCGTGAAAGGCCAAAATGGACATTAAAGAATATTTTTGCCTCGGCAATTCCTGTCGAGTCCCGCCAATTTGTGAATCGTTTTGATTTCGGAGGCAGCTGGCGAGCTCACAGGCGCAAAGCCGCCACAAGGCATCGAAGCAACCATGGCGTTGACGAGCCCCAACGATCTGAAGGTTCGAAATTGTTTTGTTTTTCCCCTTTTGGGTGTGGAACACAAGTCACGCAAGAAATGTGAATCGCAAACACTGGCCACAACAAGTCATGTCCAAGGTGGCTTTCGAAATGCTTGACGTGAACAAGGAAGGTGTCTTGGGGAAGAAGCAGGCCCATGCGGCGCCCCGAATGTTTTCGACCATCAAATGGAACACCTGCACCTTTTTGAGGCACGGGATTTTCTACGATGCGCTGGGTGGTGTGTACCAGACGATGAACTAGATGCAATGCTGGTTGGACGTGCCAGCTCTGGCAACTTGGCTTTACTAATGACCAGGCAACCCACAGTTCTGGCATGGGAAAGGTAGTTCGCTGGCTCACCAGCATAGAATAGCTGAGGTGTCAAAGCAGGAACAGCAGAGCGCACCAAATGGAATCAAAAAATGCAACTTGACGCAATAGTTGCTCGATATCACTCCCAGTTGTTTGAGTACAAAGCAGTATCCACAATCATTCTCCCCGGTTGTGGATGCCACTTGCTGGAGTCATGCTGCCGGGGGATATTGGCAACGGCGCTCTGGTCGAAACTGCCTTGCACATGCCAATGTTGAAAGGTGCTAGCAGTGAAAGCAGTCTGCAAAACTGCAAACATAAACATGAGGTTGATGGACCTGTTGGAGGAAAATAAAAACCGGGAAAATACCAGTGTTGCCTCAGTCCAGCAAGCTCTGCGGAGGCAAACGGGTTTGGGCGGAGTCGCCGGTGAGTATCGTTGCGAGTTGCACAACAATGAAATTGCACCATTGCACCGGCAATTGACATGCAGCAACCACTTTGCAATGACATGCAGGCTGGCCAGCAATCGAGCCACTTTGCTGCTTTAGCGTTTTGACCAGATGCACAGAGAACAATAACAGAGTTTCGTACCCCGAATGAATCCCAATCAAATGTCAGTGAGGCCAAGATCAGCCGTGAGCGCATTGTGGAATTCATCTCTCAAGATCATGACCTGTCAGAAGCAGACATTGACCAGGCAGAGAATTTCAGATCCAAACCGCCGATCAATGAACTTCAATGAGCTTCATCACTTTTCATTTTGCTGTGGCGTGCTGTGGCATTGGCTAAGCGGCTAGGTTCTTGGCGCCATCGGAATGGGTGGGGCCAAGCTGTTGGATTGTGATCAATTGGCTGCAAAGCTCTTGGATCGTGTTTGCAATCCTCCCTCTGTCTTGGAGATGCATGAGCTTGGATCATGACGTGATGATAGCAGAGAAATGTAGAGAATCACATGCTGGATGTGCCTGAGTATGTCCATACCTGATGGTATCGATGCCACCTGCCGAATTAAACCTGTCTTTCACCAGCCAGTGCGCAAAAGTGCTTCGCTTAATTGTACATATGGACGCCGGCAACAATGCAAAGGACCAAAGCAACATGGTGCGTCGTTATGCGCGAAAAGAGGTCAACCCAAGTGCTTCGCGATTTTCGGTTCGTTGGTGCATTTCTATTCCGAAGTTGCTATTAAACATACCGTTACAGTCTATGCTACACAGACATATTGAGGAAAAAAAACTCCTAAACACTGTAACACTGTTCCAGGAAGAAAGTATTTTAGTATGCCAGTCTCCATATGATAGGAACCATGTTCGCTTCCAGGACATCAGGACCAAATGTCGAAGCTTGAACAGCTTGCTGTGAGACACCATTAGGGTAAGTCTCATGCATCGCAAGTAGTCTTCCAGAAATGACCCGCCGCTACGAGCTGCGATTGCATGTCATTGCCAGTATGTCAAACACCTTTGCGTAGAACAATACCCTGAACACAAGAAAAATTGAGGGTGACGCCACACTAAGCAGACGATTTTTATTTCGGAACTTGAGAACGCTTTACTTTGCCATGGCCATGCAGACTTCTCCTCGCTTGGGCTCAAGGCCAATCAGTATTTACTGGAGTCGCTGAACAGTGAGGGCTTCAAAACAGATTGAAACGGACCCGATTGTGATGCTTTCATGGCTGATTTCAGGGAAGGCGTGCCGAGCTATGTGAATGCATTTGCTTTGCTTTGTCTGGCCACTCGCTCAAACAAACAGATCACACACACTAGATTAGAATGGATCATTTGAGTGATCCGGCAGGAACTGAATCCTGTAACATGCAAATTAGACGGGAACCGAATTAATCTACGATGAAAATTATATATATATATATTTATACGTAAGATCACACTAGACAATGACAGTATAAAACAACAGCGATAAAATATATGTCCCCCCCAGCTGCGTCTTAAGTGCGCCCAGGGGCGGGACGATAAAGCAGGTACGTTTACATGATCATCCAGTGTGGAGCTTCGGTGGCAGAGGCCACAACTGGAGATCCCTCTGCCCCCTGCCATAAATTAAAATATAATATCATATAATTTAATATAAAGACGAAGTTTTACGTCTATTCAGATGGTACACACACACACACACCCTGCCTCCGGCAGGGTGGTGCGCGTAAAAATGAGATGAAGATGAGGATGAACGGGGAATGAAAAATGAGATGAGGGTGAAGATGAGATGAACGTTACTTAACCAGGACGCGAAGAGGGGAACGCAAAAGAAGAGGGAAGGAGCAAACACACACACCAACACACCTAGCCCGGAGCGGGCGAACCCTGAAAAGGCAAGGGAAAAGAAAAAAGGGGAGGCCGACGGACACGGACCAAGACCAGCGGAGGGGGGGGAAGATGGAAGCGCCTGAACCAACCTGCCACAGCGAAAACCTACAAAAACCTCAGCACGCGACGGAGCCAACCTACCTGGGGAGAAAAGAAAGCATGAGATAGGGGACCAATGGGGAACTAGTTGGTGAAAAACAAAAACCAAAACCAGGACTCAGTTCCTAATTCCTAAAGGTCGTTATTCCCTTGCCGGGACCGTGGTCAAGTCTTGCCCCAATTGGCATGAAACAGCTTTCAAGTTCCAACGAATTAGGTGCACAATATGTTTGACCTCACCAAACAACCATCAAAAGAAAAAGACCACACCTGAAGGACATGAACCTGCCTGAAGCATGTATCGTGGAATGTTGCAATATGATTGCAAAAGGTGCTGCGAAAAAGAGGTTTTCTGGATGTTCGGCATGGAATCACACTGGAAGAGAAGCATTCCGCAAGATTCATTGGGACAGCCGGAACAGCGGGACTTCGCAAAATGGTGCATAACCGTAAGGCAAGCTGTTGCACTTTACTTTAACGAATTACTAGATTAAAATGTGTTAATTCGGAATTCAAGTCAGTCGACATTGACCCCAACTGGGGTTGCCTCAATTGGCCCTATGGCACCATGTCGGAGTCACCATAGGAATCACACTAGATTAGAATGGATCATTTGAGTGATCCGGCAGGAACTGAATCCTGTAACATGCAAATTAGACGGGAACCGAATTAATCTACGATGAAAATTATATATATATATATTTATACGTAAGATCACACTAGACACTGACAGTATAAAACAACAGCGATAAAATATATGTCCCCCCCAGCTGCGTCTTAAGTGCGCCCAGGGGCGGGACGATAAAGCAGGTACGTTTACCTGATCATCCAGTGTGGAGCTTCGGTGGCAGAGGCCACAACTGGAGATCCCTCTGCCCCCTGCCATAAATTAAAATATAATATCATATAATATAAAGACGAAGTTTTACGTCTATTCAGACGGTACACACACATAATTACGTATATTTAATTTTATAAAATATAAGATACATAATATATTATATATTATAGCGCGCACACATATGTATATACATATATATATATACACATACAATACGTATTCACATATATAGATATATACTTAAGTCTCCTTGCACAGTAGTGGCCTGTGATGGTAGTAATGCAATTGCCTGAACATTCGAACGCCGTTGAATCAAATATGGTTTTGGGCCATGTTTTGCTGTAGCCGAGGTACTTGTGGCTTGGCCGTATGACATGGTATTCCTTGGCTTGGGCTTTGAACGACCAGGCGACCAAAGAAAGAATATGCAACCAAGGAAGCAGCCATACAGAACGTATGTACATCATGTGAACAATTGTGAGCCTGCATCCATGAACCTGCATCCATGCTCCTCATGCACACCTAGCCCTGAATGAGTCCGCAGTTGGAAGATGAAAGAAGAAGGGGCGAGCTTTTCCTTTGTGAGAAAGTGCGATATCAAAAGACGACAAACGACTGCAACATCAACTTGCTAAGAAAAACAAGAAGAACGAGAGAGAGAGAGAGAGATTCAATGTGATTTGATGAAGCAATGTTGTCTTGGGATATGTCCTGACAGACATGTGAGTCACAACCTGCATGTTGCAAGCATGTTCAACAGAACCTTGCCCTACTTACAGCTTTGATTTAAAGTTGGAACACATACACTGACATACACTGACATGCGCCGCACATATTTGCACACACACATATACAAAACTGCATGTTCGGATGCACATGCAACGCAAACATGCATATAAGATACGATGTCGTATCACCGATGCACCACATTGCAGTGCAATACAATACGTTGCATACAAGGCAGAGCATGGTATGACATAACACCACCACAGACACACACACACACAAGCACAGTCAAAGACCCATCATAAATATGAAGGTGGTGTAGTTCCGTTTGTTGTCATAGGCACTGCTAAATTTGGTATGCAATCTTCAGCAACTTTATGGTCGTGGCTAGAACCAACCAGTAAGGGATCATGCATTCACGTTCTTTACCCAATGTAGCAGGTGGAATCATGACAAATGTTAAACCTTGAGAATGTCTTCTATGCTTCGTGTCAGGCCCTCTTGATTACAGATCCCAAAGCCTATTGCGATCGAGCCATACACGCCCAAGCATTCATTTGCAAACGCCGTGCCCTTGGCTCACCTTTCCACGCCAGTCCCAAATGTCTCCTGAAGCAGTGACTCTGCGGTCTGCCTCCGGTGCCGTGTTTGAAAATCCTTCCTTTCTTCGTGCGTTTTGCTTGTGTGTAGAGAGAGAGAGAGACAGATGCTGTCCACATGTTGGTGCGATGCTTCTTCGTGGTGTAAGGTCTCAGAAAACTCCGTTTGAATCTGCCTTCATCCAGGTTCGAACGGTTCAGCCGCTGCAATTTTCAATTCTGACTTGGACCTTGGAGCCTTGGATGACTCTGCGTCTTTGCTGAAGGTTACTTGGGTTCTCGTGGGAATCATCCTCGGGCTGGCAACATCATTCCAGGCATGGTGGCCCAGCCGAACCTTTTGACACCTCTGGGCTGGCCATACTGCCATGCTACTTGAAAACATAATAAAACATAATGAAACATTATAAAACATAGCCATATCCTGTCAATGTGATCTCCTTCACTGTTTGTTTGATACAATCTCCCACGCGAGAACCACTTGATGATTCACCAATGGTTTTCCTATGTTTTCCTCAAAGTCATTCTTTGGAAAAGTTTTGCACGCTTCTCGGCAGGCTGTCGCGACACAGCCTCAGCATATCACTTCTGCTCGGGAAACACATATAGGGTCACACGAAAACGTGAGAATGCGCTTTTGCACAGATGTCATTGCATTTTGCGCTTGGTTGGGCTTGGCTACAACCGACCAAGGATTGAAAACGCGCAGAGCGCACCGCAAAGGTGGGATCGTTGACCCACACGGCACATGATCATGTTGTGTCAGGTGTAAGCAATTGTACTTCACTGTAATCATATGTAATCATACACACACACATATATATACATACATATGCATGCATGCATACACGCATCCACGCATACATGCATTCATTGTATGCATACATGCATACATTGTATGAATGCATACTTCCATACATGTAGCTCTGGGAGGAGTCTACAAAGGTAGGGTCCCTGTTCCCCCTAAGTCCTTCAGGGATTCCAACAAAAAGGGTAACCACACCCCAAAAGGCTCAACCGGCACCCTGTGCCTTCAGATGAACGTCCCACGTTACGCTTCTCGGATTTGTGCAGCGGCCACGCTGCTTGTTTTCCACACCTTGCGGAACTTGAGCCATTAGGCTCGGTCGGTCGGCGAAGTCTCCACACTGCAATACCTTGGCGGCACATCCAAGGATACCATTGGCTTTTCACACTGGTGCATTTTCGTTTTTGGATGTGCACTCATCTTGTTTGGTCATCCATCTGGAGGCCATCTTCTTATGTGTATTGTTCTTGAGTGTTTGATCTTCATCAAAGGTGCGAAAATGTCCCGAGCGCAACACAGTTCTTAAAAAGCTGGCATCCATCGGCTTAGTTAGGCAGTCGGCCAGCATGATGGCCGTTGAGATCCATCGGCACTGGGTGTGACCTTCTGACTGCTGTTTGATCAGCATCACTTCCATGGTCGCCCTCCACTCTTGGCAATGCGGAGTCGCTAACTTGGATACTAAACCGAAAAGGGATGTGCAATCTGTGATCAACAGTGCCTTGGGTTCCTTCTGAAGTGATTGCTCTGGGTACTGCCATTGGAAGCTTGGATTATGGATGAAGGCCCACATGCATCGAATCCAGGTCAGCCTATCCAAGGGTGAGCTCATTGCATAAGCTTCAGCGCTCAGCGTTGACCTTACTACTCGGCCAATCTGCTTTGAGTTCCAAGCAGCAGGACTGATTTCTGAAGTCTTGTTTTCACCAAGAGCTTTACTACATGCAACTATAAACAGCCCTTGCTGAGCTCGGAATTGTGCAGCTGATGCGAAGCTGGCGACACCAAACTTGCAAATGATATATCATCTAGTTGCAGCGGACGGATCTGGATGGCTGTTGATGCCGTCTCTTTTGCTTCTAAAAGCATTTTGTTTCCATCAAGGAGGTGTTGAACTTTAGCATGAGGTATGCTTTTCTGAAAAAACGACACTTTTGCTGCCAGATCTGGTCGGCTGTGCGCGGCGGCATATTGAAGGCTACCGCACAAGGCTTGCAAGTCCTGAGCCTCTTGTTCAGTCGCTGTGTCATCCTTTTGGACTCTCCTATTCTTAGCTATGTTTATGGGGTCTATCTTATGTCCCCATGCTGTTCCCTTGCAAAACATCGCTAGCCTGGGTGCTAGCATGGCCTTGTCACGTTCTGGGCAGGCTCCTTCGATGAACTTCACTATCTCCACGTACTCCCGCACGTTGTCAACTGCAGGGTATTGCAGGGTCAAAGCTCGGCATAAGAGACCAAATAGTATTGCCCTTGTCATCAGAATCATCAGAGCTGCTCGACATGGCTGGACCAACAGGATTACACGGTGCCCTGTGAGCCCCCAGGGCTCCGCTACGAATGTAGCTCTGGGAGGAGTCTACAAAGGTAGGGACCCTGTTCCCCCGGAACTTGAGCCATTAGGCCCGGTCGGTCGGCGAAGTCTCCACACTGCAATACCTTGGCGGTACATCCAAGGATACCATTGGCTTTTCACACATACATACATATAATATGGTTATTATATAGGCTTATATAGGTATATATATATACATATACACACACATACACACACACATATATATATATTTGTATATATATATATATGTATTTCCTTGATTCCTTCCCCGACAGGCAGCAAACTGAAGAGGCGGCTGTCTCTAGACATTTATGTCGACCTTTTTCTCACGCTGCATCCTTCCACTGCGTGCTGCATGAACATGTTGGTAGGCCAAGGACCTGCAGGAAGGCAGTCTCAGGTAGCTGTTGGTCGGGCAGGCTTTTGATGGCGTCAAAACTTTCCAGTTCCCTTGACTGTTGGGGATTAGTTGCCGCTGTTCCTCAGCATTTGACGGCCTTGGGAAGAGACGAGGGACGGCCAAGTGGTCCCCGAGAAACCGCTTTCTCAACATATTTTGCCAGTCGAAAGCTGAACAGACTCAAGAAGATCTCAGCGGATCCAGAGCAGGAAGGCCCAGTTTTTGACACCATCACACTGTTTCAAGAGGGTGTGTTGGGCAACTTCTAGGATGAATCCTGGCGTTTATAATTTCTGTGCCTGGCATCATGGCCATTGCTGTTAACTTGGAACAGTTGGCTGGTAAGAGAAATTTTTTACAGCTTCCCCAGACCTAGGCGGAAGTCTTTTCAATCATTTTATATACAGTCTCGGCTATTTTATCCCTCCACAACCTAAGGAAATTCTGGGATGGCGATGCTTCCGGTCCAGAGCCAGAAGGGACCGCCCTTTTGCTGCGCCATGGACTTGAGATTTGGGTCGAATTTTCCTGCGGAATCTGACCTGCTGCGTGCACATGCCAGCGACGAGCATTGTTCCGTGCTGTGGGAGGAATTCTTCGGCACAGTCCCGTGGGATGATGAAGTCCATGAAGGCCAGCTGCAGCTCGCGACAGGGTCTGTTTGACGATTTGAACAGTTTTTGCAAAACTTTCTATGTCTCCCAGGCTTTCCTCAAAAAGAAGCGAGCTGCAAGTGGAGAGTCTGAGTAGGTCAAAGCCACCAGCTGCAGTCCTTTAGTAAAAACAATTTAGCCCCCGTGCGCATAGATTCCAAAAGAAAAAAGGGCAACCATCAGCCCTACCATTGATTTGAAGCGCTGCTTTTGTTGCGTTTTGTGTGTGTGAGGGATGAAGCAAACTCCGGGACATTGAGCTCAGGAAAGAATATGTTGAACATGTTCCTTCTTTGCAGGAATCCGTCTCAAAAATCACCACCTTCCATTCTAAGACTTTCTAAGCCTTTCTAAGCCGGGCCCAAGTAGGCGAGTTGGTTTTTGAATGTGAGAGTCATCTGCTATTGAACAGCTGCTCCAACCCACAATCCTCAAAAGACATCCGACTGGTGTCTAACCCATGGCTTTGTATGTTGCATGTCTGGCTGCCAGGGCCCAAATGGCGGGTAGTGTGCCTGCAGTCCTGTTGGATGTAGCGTGGATTTGTGTATTGGGCTTCCTGGAATTCCTGGGCGATGCCACCTGTCAACTCTATCCAAATCTTGAAACGATCCTCAAAAGCCTGCAATGACTTTGACTGCAGAAAAGTGTTGCAGCCTTCCTGCTCAAGCCCGTTCAAAAATCTCCTCGCCTGCACTGAAGGTTGAGCAACCTACTGCAATTCCTCCATGCTTATTTCTTCAGTGTCTCTAGTGATCTAATATGACTCCTATCCTATCTTTAAGGGCAAAAAGCCAATCCAGCAGCCATGTTGAGCACGAAGAGATGCATCGAGAACCGCATCATGAAGAGGACAAGAAGAGGGCATCGGTTTCACCCAAAAAATAAAGATGCAGACGGAGTGGCATAGGCGCACCAGGGAATCTGCAGCACGTGCTCCGGCACCCAGTGATAGGGAGATGTGATGCATACACATAGGTGGAAAAGATTCACAATAACAGACTAGAAGCCACGTTCTTGCTGCAAGTACTTCATTGTTCCTCACCACTTGCTCTTACAGGGCATGTTTGAACAAGTCAGGAGAGAGCAAGAAGCGCGAGAGCAAGAGCTGAAGCGACGCTTGATGGAAAACAACATCTACGCAGGCGGGAAAATGCCCGGTTGAGTATGAACATGTTTCCATGCTGTTTTGCAGTGAAGTGATTTTAACTATCTTGTTGACTTGATTAGAGTTGTGCAAGTATTTTCAAGATGTTTAAACCTTAGCGGAAAACCTACTAATCAAAGGAAGTTTAAGGGGAGAAACTTCCGTGTTACGGACTTTTAGAATGTCAGGGGAAGAGTTAGTCAAAGAAAGAGTTAGCAAAGAAAGAGTTCGTCAGGGAAAGAGTTAGTCAAAAAAAGAGTTAGTCAAAGAAACAGTTAGTCAGGGAAAGAGTTAGTCAAAGAAAGAGTTAGTGAGGGAAAGAGTTAGTCAAAGAAAGAGTTAGCAAAGAAACAGTTAGTCAGGGAAAGAGTTAGTCAAAGAAAGAGTTAGTGAGGGAAAGAGTTAGTCAAAGAAAGAGTTAGTCAGGGAAAGAGTTAGTCAAAGAAAGAGTTAGTGAGGGAAAGAGTTAGTCAGGGAAAGAGTTAGTCAAAGAAAGAGTTAGTGAGGGAAAGAGTTAGTCAAAGAAAGAGTTAGCAAAGAAACAGTTAGTCAGGGAAAGAGTTAGTCAAAGAAAGAGTTAGTGAGGGAAAGAGTTAGTCAAAGAAAGAGTTAGCAGAGTTCGTCAGGGAAAGAGTTAGTCAAAGAAAGAGTTAGTCAAAGAAACAAGTCAGGGAAAGAGTTAGTCAAAGAAAGAGTTAGTGAGGGAAAGAGTTAGTCAAAGAAAGAGTTAGAGGGAAAGAGTTAGTCAAAGAAAGAGTTAGTGAGGGAAAGCGTTAGTCAAAGAAAGAGTTAGTCAGGACATATGAGGTAGTCAAAGAAAGAGTTAGCAAAGAAAGAGTTAGTCAAAGAAAGAGTTCGTTAGGGAACGAGTTAGTCAAAGAAATTGTTCCCGCAATATAAATGGGATTGCAAGTGGTGCTGGTGGATGAGTTGCCGATGGAGTTTTGAAGGAAGTCTCGCACGAAATGCGTTTTTGAGAGATAGCAGATGCACGAAACCCTGTGTTTTTCCATACAAAGTGCGTCCCCGAACGTCGATGATCTACCTCTGCGGTGCGACGGGTGCGAGACGGTCTCGGGTGTGGTCGGATCATTCTCGGACCATGGTCGGATCATTCTCGGACCATGGTCGGATCGGTTCCGCATTGTAAATGGGGTTTCAAGTGTTTTTCGTGCATGCGCGGTCGACAGAATTCCATTGTGATTTGCGACTGTAGGATCGTTCCCGCAATGTAAATGGGATTGCAAGTGGTGCTGAGTAGCGAATGCAGTATATCCGATGGGAGTTTTGAAAGGAAAGCGACAGTCTCGCAAGACAATGGCGTTTCTGCCCGCCTAGTGCATTTACCATTCTAAAAATCCCTCTTTAAAAAGGCTTCAAATCGTCTTTTTTACGCTCTGGCGTCGAGATCCGGTTTTGGAGCTACAATTTCCGACGCCCGTCAAGGTTGCTTCATGCTGTGGCTGCATGCGTAATACTATTGTCTTTTGCAGCTGGACTTCGTAAATCGTATTGGAGTGGCTGCATGAAGGCTGCGACAGTGATTTGTCAGCAGATTTTCTCCATTTTGGCGCTAGTGATTTTCCTTCTAAAAATATTTTTCAAAAGTGCTTCAAAATCGTCTTTTTTTTCGCTCTGGCATCGAGATCCGGTTTTGGAGCTACAATTTCCGACGCCATTGCGCGTAGTTCTCTTGTGTTTTGCAACTCAGTCTCCGCAGATCGCATTGGAATGGCTGCGTCAAGTAGTCTTGAAGGAAGTCTCGCACGAAATGCGTTTTTGGCGCTAGTGATTTTCCTTCTAAAAATCCTTTTAAAAAGTGCTTCAAAATCGTCTTTTTCTCGCTCTGGCGTCGAGATCCGGTTTTGGAGCTACAATTTCCGACGCCGTTGCGCGTAGTTCTATTGTGTTTTGCAACTCAGTCTCCGCAGATCGCATT